AAATGGTATACGCACTATTTTATTGGGCGGGGGCTAGTGAGCCTGAACTGTAGACGCTCTAATATTTAGTTTTTCAGCAGTCCATGAGAGAGAACGTGGAACTTACAAACAAGATCGAGTTGAAAGCGAAGAAAAAATATTGGAACAAGGTGTCGTTAACAGCCGATACCCGGAAAACTAAACTTTTTTCAATAAACACGAGTCGAAATTCATGTTTGGTGCGTACACAAAATCAACGCAGTTTGGATCAAATTTCTCACCTAAACACTGCCCATCCCTTTAGATGGTCAATGTTTGGATTAACCCATTTTCACAGGCACCAGGCTCTGATGATGATGTTCGGTGTGGGTTTCACTCCTTGGGAGATCGTTAATCTCCCACTATTTGAATGTACAAGGTGATTACCGTCGACCGTGTAGCTCAGGGGTGAGGTTTTGAAGTCCCGACCCNAATGTTCGCAGTTCGAGTCCTGGCAGGGACACAAAAAGTACGCACTGCTGATGAGTCCAAAACAGGACGAAACAGCTGTCCAATGCCCATCCTTGTTACAGAATATTTTGTTAACAAACTTATTGCGGATATGCAGTCATCTGCAAACTTATCCTTCGTAATACCACTGCTTCGTGAAGCTTTAAGTATTTCAAGTGTCATCCGGTGGGATGACAACTTGTGGACTCGGAAGAAAGTATTTGCATTTGGTTTTGTCCAGAAACGATTGGGATATAAAGCAATCATCTTATCAATTCCTAATCAGCGTATTTGCAAGTGAGGTTATAGGGAACAGAATTAACGTTCGCAAACTAAGTAGAAGGGAATGAAGACGGCATCTCTCCGGAAAGTGTCAGAATGACTAGGGACGGTTGTCCGTAGTGAGCCCAATCCTTACTGACAAGTAGTTTACTCATATAATCAAGACCTCAAACAATGAGCGTCAATCAGAAAAGTAAAGAATGCTCGTATTGTGGTCAAGTGCTCCTAAAGCGTCGATGTAATCTAAACAAGATTGGTGCAGTCACCTTTATCAAGTGAGGATGCCACGGAATACCCAAGCTGTGAAAGCGTACACATTTCTGGCTTGTAAGTAGGCCAAATGTATATCATTCGGTTCTACAAAAGCTTTCAGTAACACAGCTTCGTAGTTAGTCTTTTTGGGTTTTGTTCCTGCTCTGTTTAAGACTGGGCTCTGTGCTAACAAATCTCCAGCCAGCAGGTGGGCTCAAGTTAAACAGTTCTGCAATAAGTTCATCTCAGACTTTAGGCAGCTTATGTAACAAAGGTTTCTAATAAATGATCTTCACTGATTTCCGGTGGTTTCAAAACCTTACTTTTTAGTATTCTCTTGGAATGAACGTTTGATTCGTCTCGTGCGTAAAACGCCATGGTTTCGGATGGTATCGAAAGCTATCTTAGGGGTTTCTGCCGTACGAAGACCATTTCGTCACTCTTACAAATACTTACTAGAAGCCACCTTTCTACTAGACAACACCTGGTACAAAACTAGCACTATTTCTGTAAAGGCGTTTGTGCATGGATAAAAAGTTCTATTTAATAGTGTTCTACCGACCGACCATAGCTTAGTTGATGGAGCAAATATTCACACAGTAAAACGAATGTCAACTCATAGCTAATTTAAAACGAAAATAAATGTTTTTTGTTTATTAAGGCGTTCTTCCCTCAGTTATCGAAACCCGCGTTTGGTTGGCCATTTGTCTATTTTAAACAGGACTATCACTGCTCGGTACTCGATCTGGGTCACCCGGGGTCCTATCGGGATTTGAGCAAGCCAGTCGCAGTGCAAATGCCGGAAAGATCAAAAGCTGTGGCAGCGCATTACGCAGACGCGGAGCGAGCAGCACAAAATCTGCTAGACGAATTGTCCGATCCGAACGATCGACCACAAGGTCACGTGGGAGTCGGCTCTCAACGGTTAACGATCTCACCCAAACTGGTGGGTGTTGTCTGTCCGCCCTATCACTATCCCTCGCACTGTTCTAATGAAGCGATCGTGCTCAATTTCATGGTCCGCGTACCGCCCTACACCTTCCGACATTTGCGATTTCAAGGTTGGTTGATATAAACCCGATTATCCACTGTTTTGTTCTTATCAAATCTGCTTGCAGTTCCGTTATCTGTCATTTCTAAAACAGCTTGCATACTAACCTGGGCTCCTTCGGTTTTTCTTCATTTTCTTTCTGCTTATGGTCGTTTTTTTCTCTTATGGGCTTCTTTGAATCGTCAAATTCCTCGTAATCATCTGTAAATGTAAGTTTTTGTTCCCAAAATCGATTCAAATAGCAAATGTGTCTTAATTTTCTCAATATATGAATACCGTGTCACATGAACTGTACATTCTCGTTTATTTAAATCTCACGATCCACCGTACTCCGACCAGATAACAATTTTGATGTCCCGGATCGCCTGTTTCACTCCGTGGCTACAACCTGGAGCCTAACAACCACCACTGTCACATGTGTGAAAGAACTGGTCCCGGAATTCTATTTCACCTCCGAGCTATTCATGAATGCGGCCGGATTTGCACTAGGTCATCGGCAGGTTGGAGACACCGTTGATTCGGTTATTTTACCCCCGTGAGTACAGTCTGTGTTATTTGTTTGAACTTTTATTTCGATAGTGATTTACGCAGACTGCTTTTCTGAGCGCACCGTGCTACCAGAATTGAAATCAGAGTGCACGAAATCTTGTAGTAACTTTTTCGTACGACTGTTAACTAGCTTGGGGCATGATGATCATAACTGTGCAGCTGTTTCCCCTTAGAAATTTCTGGATAACTTGAATTTCAGTGTAGCTATATTCGGTATGCATTTTGCACCTTCAAAGTATAAAATGTTACTACCAGACTGGGTTGGTCCAGCACCCAGCCTCACTCTAACTGGGGAAGTAATAGAGCAAGTGAACAAGTTTTGCTATCTGGGCAGCTATATCTCACCTGGCGGACGCATCACGAATGAAGTGTCTGCTCGCATACAGAAGGCTCGGTTGGCATTTGCCAACTTGAAACATCTGTGGCGCCGTCGCGACATCCGGCTGTGTTTGAAGGGTCGAGTATATGCTGCAACAGTTCGGCCAGTTCTGCTTTACGGTGCAGAGACTTGGCCATTACGAGAACAGGATAAAAATAGGTTGTCAGTGTTCGAGCATCGCTGTTT